AGATTCGCATCTTTTTTAAGTATAGGTAACATTTGAAAAAGAAATAATTTTTTTTGCCTTTTTGTGAGCATCGCAGCTCAGCCTCACCTTGCCAGCTGTCTTCTGAAGTTAGGAAGCAGTGCTCTGCCCCCAGGATGCTGCAGAAGCCTAGGCTGGGGTGCTTTGTGCAGGCTTGGCAGCAGCAAGATATCCAGCACCCATCCCTTCATGTGGTGGTCCCTTCAAGCAGGGCCCAAACTGGTCAAGGAGCAGGTGGGGGGGCCTCTAACTACCTTCCACCCCAGGGGGCTGCTGTGTCCCATTGCAGGCCCATGCAACCTCCTTGCTATCCTGCCAACCTGGGGATGCTCCTGGCTCTGCTGGGTGGCCACTCCTTCGTGCCCCATTGCTGGCTGCAGTTGGCTTTCTCCTAGTGATCCTTCCTCTCTGGGGCAGTCCCATTGCTTTGGCCGTGTCTGGGCAGGCCCTGGGTCAGTCATCAGTCTGTATGCCACCACCATGTGACTGCTCTGGGGTGCAGTCTTCACCTGGATGTGGCCAGAGCGGTGGGGCTGCTCCAAAGGGTCTCTCCTGACCAGGAAGGATTGCCAGGAGAATGCCAACTGCAGCCAGCAATGGGACATGAAGGAGCAGCTATCTAGCAGAGCCGGGAGTGTCCCCAGGTTGGAGGGGTGGCAGGGAGGTTGCGCGGAGAAGTTTTCACCAACTGGAAGAGATGTGTGTGTGAGAGAGGGGGGGAGAGAAAAAGAAAGAGAAAGAATAAGAGAGAAAGAAAGAGAAAAAAGGAGGGAAAGGAGGGAGAAAGAATAAAGGGAGAGAGAGACAGATAGAAAGAGAGAGAAAAAAAGAAAAAAGAAAAAGGAAGGAAGGGAGAGAGAAAAGAGAGAGACAAAGATAGAAAGCAAAAGAGAGAAAGAGGAAAGAAGAAAGGGAGAGAGAAGGAGAGAGAGAAAAACAAAGATAAAAAGTGGAAGAGAAAGAAAGAGAAAGGAAGGGAGGAGAGAGAGAGAGAGAGAGAGTTACTTGACTGCCAAGCCACACCCACAAAATAGGCCACACCCACAGAATAGGTAGTAAAAAAATTTGAAACCCACCCCTCTTCTAGCAGCATGATTTCTAATCTATAATAGACATTGTAGCTGTAGTTTAGCCTCTCAATCATTTCAGTACCTGTTATTTACTCATCAGCTTAATAATCAACATACTGGGGTTCAATTTTTGTTCAGGGCTGCTTCTGTTATATTTATATTAGAATTCTTTTGCCCAGATTCCCAACAGTACTTATTTGCATACAAAGGTCATGTAAATTTGTATTGATGATCCTGAAATTCAAAAGCATTTGGCCTGTGTATAATTTATTAACATACACTTCTTTCAAGGTCAATTTGGACATGGTAAAGTATGAGTTCAATAACATATTTGAAAATAAATGTTGTAACATACCAGCCAACCAGGTCCAGAATCAGTAATGATAATAGTTGTAAATTAAAATGAATAAGAAGATTCCAGATCATTATTATCCATATGCTGTAATATTCAAATGCTGCATAATTTCCTACAATGATGCATTTGGATCAGCTGACAACCCAGGATAAATTTACTTTTTGAACCATGGGTTGGAAATAAATCAATCCACTTACTTACTATTGATACAAGTATAAACAATTTCAATATTTTCACCTAATACATCATTAAAATCATCCTCATGTAATACTACCAATTCAGGATGTATTATGAGCCATGGTGGCATAGTGGTTAGAGTGCAGTATGCAGGCTACTTCTGCTGACTGCAACTTGGCAGTTTGAATCTCACCAGGCTCAAGGTTGACTTCCGAGGTGGGGAAAATGAGGACCCCGACTGTTGGGAGTGGGTGGGAAATATGCTGATTCTGTAAAACCACTTAGAGAGGGCTGTAAAGCACTGTAAAGTGATATATAAGCCTAAGTACTATTGCTATCACTATCTATTCCAATAGATAAACCCAAACCCTGCTCTACTTGCCACTGATTTGCTTCCATAAATGCTTGTGATAGCAGAAACGCTTCTACTGTTTCTGCTTACATTCAAAAGTGTATGGAAGATGTCAGTGTTCTTGGGACTATTGTCATGAGAGCAAATGAGAAACCTTGGAAAAGGCCATGCAATATTGAAGGTGAGAAACATCACTTTTAAATCAGGCAATGTGGCAGCACTTAGAATAGCAAGAGCTGATTTGAGACGTGCTATAAAAACATCAAAGCAGGTATATAGTCAGAAAGAACAGAATTTCTTTCAAAATCCTATGAATCCAAGACACGTGATAAGGTATTTGGGTAGTTACTGACTATGAGGCAGCTTCCCTGACATGTAGGGGTGACACGGACTCTCTAAACAAGCTAAATATGTTCTTTGACAATTTAAGGACACAAACAACATTCCAGCAAGGAAGGCTATTCCCCTCCCTGATGAGCAGGTGAAGCATGCAAACTAGCATTTGCATTTCAGATGAGGAGAGCACATCTTTCTCCTTCTGCCCTGGCCACTTTTTACAGAGGCATAATTGAGAGTGTTTTAACAAACTGCATTACTGTTTGGTTTCGTGGCAGCAGTGCCTCAGATAGAAAGTCCATTCAGAGAGTGGTAACGACAGCCGAGAAGATTATAGGAAGCTTGTTTCCTGTTATTCAGGATACTGCTTATAAGTGCTATGTGCTTAGAGCTCAAAGCATCATTAGAGAGCCCCCCCCCCCCTACACACTTTATGGTCTGTTTCTGTTGCTCCCCTCTGGGAGGAGATTTTGAAGTATTTCTAGCAGGACTACCAGATTCTGTAACAGCTTTGTTCCCTATGCCATTCATCTGGTAAACTCACAAGATTTGTTTTTCTTGCCATGTACCTGCATACATCCAAATGACTATATTGTTTCTCTGTGTCTTATATGTCAGTATATACATAATTTTATATTTATTTATTTTGTCCTGTTTATGTGACGTATATTGGAGGTGGTGACCCTTTGAGAACTGTATGCAACAAAATTTCATTTTAATGTATGCCGATTAGTGTACATTCAAAGTGACAATAAAGTTACTCTACTCTATTCTGGAGTGCGGGATGCAACCATTAATTAACTGTAGCTACAGTTGCCCTCTGCAGATTACAAATCACTCTCAATAGGTCAACCATTGGATTTGTCTGAAGTCAGTCTAAAATTAAATGTAGCTTCTTGAAGTAGAGTGGGACTGCAATAAATACACCATAAACTAATCCAGTTTACCATACCATGTCATTTGGTCATGTTCCAAAAAGATAATCTGCTGTCTCACAACAATGTAATTGAATTGATATTATCTCAGAAATAACTTCAGCCACTAGGAGTCAAAATATTTAGGACTGTTCCATTTTACCACTAGAAGTGTATGTTGTAGCATTAATTTTAAATAAGTTCAACTTGTTCAATTTTGGGGAGCAATAATTATTTAGAACATCTTCCTTGGGTGGCTTTTATTGTTTATAAGACTTTTAATCTCATTACAATGCAGAGTCTAAGTCTCTAAACCACCATCAGCTGGAGTAAGAGAATCGGTTCAACTCTAAAACATGTCCTAATACTACAGGAATGAGCCTGAATGTGTGAACAGTGTATGTTGTATTTCCTTTTCTACATGACTTTATTTTGGGAAGTAAAACATATAGGGCCACTATTGGACAGTAAGACTATTGGGTCTGGGCTGCACAATCTGGACAACCTGTAAATGGCAGCAAAGATAAACTTTGAGTGTATTGGACTCCCAAAGAAAAGGGAAATTTGCAGTCCTATCTTCAAGGGGATATATTCCTAACCATTGGTCTATCATAATATTAAAACACAAAATATTGAAAAGGAATTCAGTGACAAGAAATAAGAGACACCAACGCATATCAGTTGTAAGATGTTTGTTTTTAGAATTCAAGCTTACATAATAATCTATGCTCACTATAGTCATAATTGCATATTAATATCTGCATACAAAAGCTATGTAAAAATTATATTCTTTTCCCAAATATACAAATTTCTCTTCAGGTAGTTTAAAACATTTATGATCACATATTTAATATAGTTTTTAGGCTGAAAAAATATTACCCATCTAGCATATATTTAACACTGTTTGAAAGGGGGAGGGGAAAGAACAAAACAAACAAAAAACTTAAATTTTATCCCAGAATCTTCAGCCTTTCTAATAAATCTGTACTCAATTTAGTCTGAAGAAATCCAAACCATAACAAGGCTAATCCAAAGCTCAGCAGCATCCATCTTAATAAAATGAAAAGAAACAAAACATCATTTTGTGGAATTCCAAAATAATTGACTTAAGGAAAAAATAATTTAAAACATTAAATGTTTTTTTTCCAATCCATGGTATGATCTTATTTCTCACTTTTATAATTTCAGTTGCAAAATAAAAATGTCTTAATGTTTTACATTGTGCTCAATAATTTACATCAATTCCATCTACATGGATGTAGATTTACATTTGATTGTCTTGTGCATAAATAACAATAGCATTATCAAGTTAAACTGTGCAAAACAGATAGTTACAAACAGCTTTTTACCTGCACAATACTGCTTCTGAAGGCAACATAATTGATTGAGGATTAGTACACAGAAGCAAGGCAGACTCTGCATTTGATAGCACTTATACAACACAGTAAAAACTTAGTGAAAGGCCAAATCTTTTTTTAAATTGTAGCAATCTATATTTATGCTTGTATGTTTTAAAAAGAAAGTCTATTTTATTTTTAATTAGTTCTTGTTTTTGTTTGAGGAAAATAAATCTCTCCTATCTAGGATATGATGTTTCTATAAACTTTTATATAAGGGTCATATCAACCTAATATCATGAGGAAATTTATGATAAATTAAACTATTAGCAGAAATTACAAGAGAATGTAGCAAAATGTCTCCTGTATGTCTTGCTATTTCAAAGCTGCAAAAAGACAAGCAAAGACATATTTCTTAGTAGATCATGAATGAGTGCATAACTTTATCAACATTTTTCTTAACTATCAAAATGAGGCAGAAACTTGTTCTGGCACAAATGGTTGATAGTGACTTGCCCATTTTATTCATTTTTTTTAAAAAAAGTCCTATGGACTGCACATGTTTTCTAATAAAGCAAGAACTGAATGAGTCTCGCAGGTTTTAATTCTAATTTCCAGCAGAGAATAAAGGTTATAAAAGCCTAATCCTACAAAAAATATTGACTCCATCTGAAAAGCATTAAGATTTAAAACCTTAAGAATGATGTTACTGACAATTTGTGTCATATCAATATGATATCTACATTTTAAGATTACTGTATAACTAACAACAATGTCTCCTCTTGTGGTCTATAGAGCTGCATGGGTGGTGGATTTCCTTCCACAAATCAACTATTTTCCTTTTGCATTGCCTTTTTAAATCCACTGCAGCACATTAAAGATAAATTACAAATGTTAAGTGTCTGATTCTGACACCTATATTTTGGCACAGTGCTGTTGATTTTAAAATGGCTAAGTCACTGTAGAGTCCATCACTATCCTTTCTCCCAATTTAAAAACACTACAGAACTCAGTTGCAACAACAAACCCACATCAGGTTAAATACCTATCACTTAGAGCAGGACACATTAAGCTAACAACTATTTTTAAAAAGGGAAATAATATTTTGTAGAATGCTTCACTTGATACTATACCTACAGCAGAAAACAAACTTGAACAGCATGGGCCAGCATAAACAATCAGAATTAAAGCTGCATAGTCAAAAATTCAGATGTTTTGTAGTCAGTCAAAACATCTCCCAACAGAGAATAAATGGATGTACAATTTACCACTCCTACTAATCATTATGAAAGCTAAATATGCTGCCAGATGTTTCTTAAAATCTTATACCAGTGGTTGCAGGACTGGGACCACTTTATTTGTCAAAAAGAACCTGAGGTATCATTCTAATAACTTAAAATATTATGTTTCTCTGGTGTGCCTAAAAATAGAAACCATTATAACATGAGCACACTTACACATGAAAAAAGAAAAACAACTGAAATCCTGCGGTTTGGGATATCCATTGATGTTGAGAAATTAAGCTTCTAGAAATCAAAATGCAGCTCTTGAATTCTGACAAATGGTCACTGGGATTGTCATCCAAATGGATTGTTACACTCTGAATAGCACAAAGCACATTAAAAACCAAATATGAGCCAATTTCATGTATTTATGTTTAAATGTAGGCTAAGCTTTAGAATACCACATCATAAAGAGCTAATGCAAATCGAAACATAGCATTCATTAGATTGTGATCTTAGCTTGTTATATGTTTTATACATAGCATATTATAGTTTTCTGAAAATAACCCTAGATTCCATTTATTACTTTACTTTGAAGACAATCTCAACATTTCCACCGGGGACTTAAGGCCAAAGGTTAAGTGGGGTCCTATAATCATTACTGGATGCCCCTTTTCTTTTAGGTTATGATCTTTGACATGTTTATGTGGAAGTAAACATTAATATTAATTTTTGGGGTAGGGAAGATGAATAGCAATACTTAAAAGATTTTCAAAATAGTATTTGTTTTCAGCTAGAATATAATCTTACCTATAAAGTTAAAAACAGATATGCACATCATGCCCTTTTCTATAGCAAAGCAAAAAAGAGATGGAGATTTAAAAATAAAAATGGTATAGGAAACTGAGATCTAGGGCATATCTATACTTTTGCAACTTTGTGATCTTCTGGCATGTTCACTAGCAACTTTGGGAGTTCAACTCACAATGCACCTAAAAGGAACTAGGTTGCAACGAAAGCTTCTGTGAAGGAGGTCATGGGATAAAATCAGCATTCCACCATAAGCTCCACCTCTTATTTCACATGTCATGACATAGCACACATGTGTGAAAAGAACTAAAGTTTGAAACGCAATAGTGCAATGCTATCATTATTTTGATGAAAACATCCAGTCTTCTGGACACCTCCAAATTCTGAGAAGGTAGAATTGAAGAGAAAACAACATATAAAATGGTACATTTTCATTTTTTTTCTTACCAAATGGGTTGGTTGCCACCAAAATTCTTCACAGATATTTTGACTAGGCAAATGTGATCATTTTGGAAAAAAAGTTCAAGTTGATTCAACTATATTTTTGGATAATCATTTTTAGAGATCTTAAGCTAGTAGTCAACTCTGACATTATGCAAATGTTTACATTATCAGAAATTTGTACAAGAAAAGAAACTGCATAGTCTATAAAAATATCTCCTATGACAACATCCTTATATGCCTATTCTGTAGACATACCTATCATATGAACATGATTAATTTCTTGCCCATGAAGCCCAAGAGAACAGCATTCCCCAATCTTTTCAGCATGGGAGAATGAGGGAAGAGGGGATGGTGCGAGGGGCAGGAGCATGCGTGCATGCAACACAGCTTCATTTGTGTGGAGCTCACGCATGTGGAGCTGCAAGCCCTGGTGCCCGGCACTTGTCCAAGTGAGGATGTGAGCAGAAGTGTCCACCACTCATGTGAGTGGGGCTGTGAGTGCTTGCACCTGCCCTTCGCATGAGTTGGATTACACACATGCACTGGCCCACCACTCACACAGCCCAGTTGTGAATAGGCCACAGCTTGGTAGTGGGCTGTGGCTCACAGATTGGGGACCCCTTCCATAGAAGATATAATCCAGGGGGAAAAACAATTCTTGATAAGGCAAACTCACTGAAGTATTGATTTAGGTTGCTTTAGAATCAAAAATGTTTTACAGAAACCAATCTGGAATATCAACATTTGTTTAGTAAAAACTAAAACACTGAAGTCAACCTGCCATTAAGAAGCATTTCTTCTCTCCAATTCATATGAATTGAAAGGACTACCATTTGTAAATTGTAAATCAAGTGTATTTAAGCCATTGAAAATAACTTAAATACAATACATCGAAAAGACTTCTGCTGTCAATAGAATTAACCATGGTTGAAAACAATATTATAATTCAAATGTTGTCCACAGTGATAGTCTACCTGAGTGCAAACATTACTAAAGAGGACAAAATGATTTGAAATCTAGAATTTCAGCTATTCGTTTGGAATAAGATTTAAAAGCTTGAGTGTACGTAACAATTTACATTCTGTCAAATCTTTTTTCTTGAAACGGATTTCTATGTCATAGCACGTGACACTTTGTTCACAAAAAGTTAAAGGCCTATATCCCTTGGCTGTATAAAATGAGATTCACAAATCCTGGGATTCAAGTTACTGATTTACAGTCACTGGAAGAGTGACAGTATACAGGTAGAAAAAAGATTATTATGACTATATAGAACAGATTGGAAAGGTTTATTACAGACAATTGGAATTAATTGTTGTTGAGTTATGAGGGAAAGACATAGAAAACCTTTCTTATGTATCATATTAAATTGGAAAGAATTCATTGCACATATTTTTATGGTTTAGGAATTACATGCACTCGAAGGGACAAAATCATGGAATCCCTTAAAGTCATTATGTGAATATTTAAAAACATAAATGGCAGGGTAGCGAATAACTTGTCTTGCTATTGACTCAAAATAATTTTGGGCAAGAGGGAGAAATAGAGTCAACAATGACTCTAATGTTTCCAAATTACCATTAAGGAAAAAAGACAGCAAGGGCCTTGGCTCTGAGGAAATTTTAAATGTACTTATTTTTTCCTGTATTTTTGCTTATGGACTGAATAAGAGGAAATGAGAAGCTATGTTTACCTGGTGGGGGGAATAGGATTCTCTACATTCTGGAGCTTTTTATAAAGATAGTCCTCACTAAACAACCACAATTCGGATTGGCAGGGTGGTTAAGCAAAACATCATATGATTGGGCTGGATTTAAGATGTCACTCATGCTCCTAAGCAAATTACCCATTAAAGTGAGATATTCAGGGACTGCAACTTATGATTTTAATGCTGGCTTTTTCATTAGCTCTGCTTGATGGAAGCTGGCTTGAAATGCACAAATAGCAATCATGTGACTATAGAATTCTATGTTCATTGTAAAGCACTCAAATGTCAATTACATAACCGTGGGGATGCTGCAATGGTCATAAGTGCAAGGATCAATCATAAAGTTACTTTTTCAGTGTCACTATAATTGCACACTTGCTAAACAGGGCAGCCATTAAGTGAGGATTACCTGCAATTGAATTTCTAAAATACTCATAACAATCTGAAAATGATGATGAAATTATGATTATTGTGGGAAGTTTTACTTGGATAAAACTATTCTTAAGCATGGCAAGGTGAAATTAGATGTAGCTAAAGTTGCAATCTGGGAGCACACTGCAGTGAACTCAATATATCTGAATAATATATTCAGATATATATTTGTACATAACTGCAACTGATTGCATTTGATCTTCAGCAAGATTAACACTTGCTAGATTGTTCTGAATTCCTCATCAGAAGTCTCATGTGCAGAAAGTGAGTTAATACTGTATAAAATATGGCAGGATTTATTTATCCATTTTCTTGCTTCCTCAATTTATTTATATTTATATATTTATACCCATATCTCTCCAAACAATTATAAACATGGGTCGCCTGAGTGCTGGTGAATAAACTTAAAATTCTTGAGGTTAAACTCTCAAAGGATTCACATCGAAAGGAGTAATGGACACACAAAAAACGCAATTGTGACAAGTACCCGCATTGAAGGGATATCTTCATTCGTTCATGCCTATTAAAAATAATCCTCCAAAGGAGGTGGTACAAAATGGGAATGGACCAAAAGTAAGAAGAAAAAACTAGGCAATGGAATGAAATGACACCCAGTAGTGCTATAGAATCTCTGAGAATCTTTCCAGTCTTTTTAATCCTCAAACACTTCCAAGAACAAAGGAGGAAAGAGTTCTGTAGGGCATTCCACCTTCATGTGCAGGAAGCGGCTAGCATGGCAGGCTCCAATCATCCGTAGGTCTGTCACTTTCATCAGCAGTTTTGGCCAAAAGTGTGCAATATGGTGCTTTCTGTAATTAATATAGTGTTCAAACGCCAAGAGGAAGCTTTCTTGACACTTTTCTATTCTTTCAATGCTGACAAGACCTGGACGATCTGTAAAAGTAAGATTTAGATTAAAAAAAATAAAAACTTTCATTCACCTTAAAAAGTATATTTTGCAAAGTGCAAATAGAACAAAAAATGACTTCCACTACATTACCCTAGGCTTTGCATGTGCTAGCTATTTTCACAAAATTAAATTGTACCCTGTGAATAATTGAACTCTGGACATTGTTAAACTGGACAGAAGTTGGAACCTATTGCATTCATTGGAAAATTCAATGATCTGTCAACTTGGATGATATAATGCAACAGTTCACTCTGTTGAAGCGGAAATTGCAAACTCTGTTATAATATTTCAGTTGCATAAAACCAATTTGTGAGCTTTATTGTGTCTAGAAGTCTTTTTCATGGCCTTCGAATTATTCTGTCCTGCACACTCATACTCAAACTATGCTGCTGAAATTTGGTAGCAAATATAAATGCCAAAATTTATCCTGATTTTTAAACAAAAAAGAAAACAAACAAAATCCATTTGTGTGTGTGTATGTGTGTGTGTGTGTGTGAGAGAGAGATGTAAAAAGGCTGAAACTTGTCTCTTTAAAGACTTGATTACATCATTACTTCCAATTTTTTGAGAGCTGCCAGATCTCAGAACATTCCTTTTTCCTTGTGTATTCTTTCTTTTGTTTAGTATTCATTGCAAAAGCAACCAGCTATAACAGTTGGATGACAACCAAATAAAGTCTCTTGCAAGACTAATTATTTTCTTCTTTATTCACTGTTAACTACATTTTTGGAATAGCAATTTTGCTTATGATTAAGGAGTTAACTTTTTTCCCCAGCCTCTCAAGTCATGGTCAAGATTTAATTTTTCCGATTACAATTGACCTGTGAACTACATCCCTTTTTTCACTTTTCTGCTTTTATTCTCAGAGCTCAGAGCAATGTGAATTATTCATCTCAGAGCTCCGTGAAAAGAATAAAATGATAAAATGAAGCTGAGAGATAGCAACAGACTCCAGACCACATGAAAGTTTCAGAGTTGAAAAGATTCTGAATATAATCTAACCACCAAACTACACTGATCTCTGGACTAACAAACAAGATATCAAGACCTAAATAACATTTAAGGCCCTTGAAATTCCACCAATAAAACCTTTAAAAAAAAGAAGGGTGGAGAACAAAAGCCAATATTTTATTTTTAATTCCTTGGTGACTACATTGTAAAATTCACATCATTATTTTGAAATAAATTCTTAATACCTATTTGATCTGCTATAGATAGACAACAACCATGTTAAGCTTTGCCCAGGATTCTTTTAAGTGCTATAATGTTTGTCTATGGTCCATATTCATACATAATCACAAGCAGACAAGAACTTGGATTCTGCTAAGGAGCAAGGATAGGATACAGAAAACATAGCAAAATGGTGGATAATTTACCTTACTACAAGTAATCTCACATATCTTCATAAAACGTTAATCCTATGTGCTCACTCACAATTTAATGTCACTAAAGAACTTAAGCATCTCAAAATACATTCAGAAAAAGACAAAAAATAATTCTAAAAGTTTGGTCAGGATAAGAATGGTACAGATCATTGATGGTGAACCTTTTTGGCACTGAGTGTCCAAACCAGAATGTCTGTGCACGCTGTGCATGTGCTTGTGAAGGAGTGCCAGAAACCCAAAGACAAGCTGGCTGGCACATGTATGTCTGTTTTTGGGCTGGTTTTAGCCATTTTTAGGCCATTTTCTGTGCTGTTTTCAGGCTATTTTCTGGTCATTTTCAGGGCTATTTTTGGCCTGAAAATGGCCCCAAAACTGCCTGGTTTTTTTGGCCATTTTTCAGGAGGTTTTCTGGTTCTCCAACACCCATGAAGACCAGCTGGTCGGCGTGCATGTGTGTGCCGGAAACCAGAAGAGCAGCTGGCGATAGCGTGCGTGCCCATAGAGAGAGCTCTGTGTGCCACCTTTGGCATGCATGCCAGAGGTTCACCATCACGGGGTATAGATTGTCAATTATATCTACATTAGTATAAAATCACGTACAATAGATTTTATTTTAAAAAATGTTGTGGATTTAACAAATTGTTTTTTATGTTCTAAAAATGAAGTGCAGTTGTTGAATGATTGTTTCCCTGTGATTGCATTCCTTTCTTTTTTCATCATTACCAATAGAAGGGAAATCAAATAAACCAGAGATCACAGAGTTTGAGCCACAAAGAGAAAAATTGGACCCTTGCTTTCTAATGGAACACTTGAAATAGCAATGATTTCTGTGAAGACATCTATTACAAAATGCATCAAGGAAAATCTGCTGTTCCTGAGTGCTATGAAATCAGCATGGTATAATGAATGATTTTTAACAGTAACCTAATTTTTTTATTACGTATGTTTGAAAGAGTGTGAATCTTTCTAGAAGGTTTACAGAATCCTTAACAGGTAAAGATGTTGATTCATAATATTTTAAAAATGTTCACCCTCACCTGAAGACATCAGCAGTACAGCCTGAAGAAGAGCAACTTCCGTGTCATCAAGGTTGAATGATGATAGTGACATACCCAAGTCAAAAATGGCATCTGATACTACACCAAGACCCCCATTTTTCAACTGGCCTCTTGTTACTGCCATTTCTCCGTTTAGTGTTAAGGTCTCACTTTCTGGGTCGTAGCGCACTGCTGCTCTGAGGGACATGATCTCCATGCAACAACCTTTCAGAAGTATAATTTGATCTTCACATGGCAGCTGCAAATAATTGCAAGTGGAATAAATTTCCCCACAGGAAAAATACTTTTCTGTATAATAAAAACAAACATAGAAACAACTCTTCCCCATTATGATCCCATAGATAAGTCTTTTACTAGAAGCTATCCTGCCATATTCACAGAAGATTAGGGCTCTTTAAACTATTGTTAATAATATCTTCTCTTTTCACCTTAGTTTCCATAGAAAATTTTTTAAAAGAGATAAATAGCTATACAATATCTTTTTCCTGAAACCATCCATTTAGAAGCCCGGTTAATTTCAGACTTTTAAAATGCTTAAGATCTTCTTAGAGAAATATCATATGTGTACACAGTACACCTGGAATTTCTCCTATATGATAGATTGCTGACCAAAAGCCAATCTGCAAGTTATTTCTAAGTTTGATCTTTGTTTGGATTCATGATAGTGATGACTGGAGAATGAATAAAGTTGGCAACTTTCAAAATATTTTTTCATTGAACATTATTATTAAACCAGTTTATAAACTGCCAATTCTATAAATTTGAAATAGAAATCAACAGGATATTCAGAGAATACCATCCTGATTCTGTGAGTCATATTACTTATGCTAATAATAGTCTCATTTTATGTGGCTACATTTGACATTTATTTTTTAACTATGAATGCTTTCTTCCTCTGTCTGTACAGTGAAGAAGGATATA